GATTGTGCCAAAGTGATCGATGTTCTAAATAAGAAAAAGAACGCCTTTCGTCAASCAGATCAACGTAACCTCGACGWCCACGTGTGCGGTGAAGTGTACTGYCCCTACTGYAAGAAGACGGGACTCAAGCACTGGTGTTACGTTCAACCTGTCATGGATCAAAAGTGCGGAGAATGCGGAGAACGGGTCACGTTTCCTCACTCGTGTTCTGGGGAAGAAGAAGAATGCACCTACGAGGATCAAACGGAAGTGCGGTATTTGTTCTTCGACGTSGAAACGATGCCYGGCGAAGAGGTCCACGAAGTCAACCTGGTGGTGGCTCACAAAGTCTGTTCGCAGTGCCTGCACGACGAAACGATCGAATGCTCGGTGTGCCAGGACCGTCGGTGCGTGTTTCTTTCGCGAGACGAGTTTTGCCGGTGGTTGTTCCGACCCGAACATCGAGGCTTCACCGTCATGGCTCACAACTTCAAAGGGTACGACTCGTACTTTTTGCTCGAGTACCTGTGCGCTCNCCACGTGTGCGGTGAAGTGTACTGTCCCTACTGTAAGAAGACGGGACTCAAGCACTGGTGTTACGTTCAACCTGTCATGGATCAAAAGTGCGGAGAATGCGGAGAACGGGTCACGTTTCCTCACTCGTGTTCTGGGGAAGAAGAAGAATGCACCTACGAGGATCAAACGGAAGTGCGGTATTTGTTCTTCGACGTCGAAACGATGCCCGGCGAAGAGGTCCACGAAGTCAATCTGGTGGTGGCTCAYAAAGTCTGTTCGCAGTGYYTGCACGACGAAACGATCGAATGCTCGGTGTGCCAGGACCGTCGGTGCGTGTTTCTTTCGCGAGACGAGTTTTGCCGGTGGTTGTTCCGACCCGAACATCGAGGCTTCACCGTCATGGCTCACAACTTCAAAGGGTACGACTCGTACTTTTTGCTCGAGTACCTGTGYGCTCRTGGAGAACGACCCGAGGTGACGTTTCGCGTTGCGGTGGAACGGTGGTGGTCATTGACGACAATGCCGACTCTCCTACCCCCAAACAAGAAGAAGAAACGAAAGAAGACCCGATGGACGAAACCGAAAAAGAAGAACATCTCTKAACTGTTGCRTCGATCGTTTTACGATCCCAAGCAACCGGGAGGATTTGCCGGGTACCAACAACTGAAACGTCAAGCGCGAAAAAAAGGAATCGAGCCGTGGCAGGTTCGTCAGTGGCTCAGAACGCAGCCGGGGTACACGTTGCACAAACCCGTTCAGCGACGGTTTCCGCGGCGTCGCGTCATGGTGGACGGACTCGATCAGCAATGGCAAGCGGATTTGGCCGACGTGAAAAAATTGCGAGAAGACAACGACGGAGTGGAGTATTTGCTTATCGTGGTGGACGCCCCATCCGCAAGAAGAACGCCCAGGAAGTCACTGCTGATTTCCGAGACATTTTTGAAGACGGTCGTGAACCGGACGTCTTGCAGACGGACGAAGGAACGGAATTTTTGAATCGCACTTTGAAATCGCTGTTGGAACAACGAGGCATTCGTCATTTCGTGGTTTACGG